GGGGGTAGAAAAAGATAGAAAATTTTCAGCGAAATCAAAGTGGGTCAGGTAAAAAATTTGGCGATTTGACATGGAATGACCCATTTGTATCGATCGGTGAATTCCAAGAAATTAGTTCTTACCTCAAATACATATAGAAAAACAATTCGGTACTACGTAGCAAGGTGAGTGGGGAGAGTGAGGTAACGAGTAAGCTAAACGAGGTGTACGCATAGAAAAACATTTAGGCACTGCCTTATAAGGTAAATAGGGGGGGAGAGGTGACTTGACTACGTCATCACCTCACTTTGTTTCCGGACGACGGTGTGACAGGTCTTATCTAGTTCCGCTCCTCGTAAGTAATTATTACTGTCTAATTAATTAATATTTCATTATAGAATTTGATATCTAATTAAATCTCATTTGATTAACAGATTGATGCAATCATAATCGATGGTGTGAATGCATTGACATTAGGTAAGATGATCTGTAATTAGATTTATATGATTTTATATTTTTCTATGGTTACACACAAATTTTTACCATAATCTGTCATTCTTTTTATGGTTTCAGAAAGACGTATGCAATCATCCCATTGTTTCCATCGTTTCAAAAAGACGTTCACCATTGTTTCATGGAAATTATACTAATCAATGGTGGAATGCTGCATACATATACGTGCAAGTACATTTATTTATTTCTTTTCTTTAATTTTAAAATGGATCTCCGACGCAGCAACCTCCCCGTGGTGAGATCCGGTAACCGATATTGCTTACGGTGTCCATAATATTTGTATGGTGCAACGTAAGCACTGTCGGGCCAATGGCTGACGTTCGATGCATTAGAAAATTTTAACTTCAACGTTTTATTCATTAATTCTAATGCATAATTAAATGATTCATTGAATTATATTATTTAATTACRCGTTGCAATTGTTGTTTAAATTTTATTCATTTTATATTTTTTATATTATATTATATTAAATTCACATAAATAATTCATGACACATTCAATTGATTTTAATTAATTGTTCAAATGATTTTTTATAAATATTATACCTTGTTTAATTTTACATTAATGCTATATCTATAAAATTCTATAGGTATTAACGTAATTAGTATATTTCTGTAAAAATAATCTTATCGCAATTAAATTTATTCTTTGAAAGATAGAATGCAACGCGATATTTTCTCGTATGTATTTTATCTTAATTTTTGTATGTAGCTTACAAGTTTGTGGTTACATCTATTGAATATTTTTTTATTAATAATTAAAGCATATAAAAATAGTAACACGATTCCAGAATTCTTGGAATACGTAGTTTAAATAATTTGAATTATAAAACRATTAATATMTTTTTTATTAGTAACATAATAAATAAACAGAAGTACGCTACGACTTGCTTTAACAAAACTTTGATTTTCAGAGCTTTAATTGTGATTGCGTGCAATGCAATCTTAGAATCAGTGTTTGT